AGACACTCTTTCATACAACTCAATTTATAACAAAGATACATATTTTAACAAAAAAAAATAAATTGTGTAGAATCACCGAATGCCATTATCAATTCTATTGTATGCATGCTTCAAATTCAAAGTCATGGAGTGTAAATTTCTAATCTACCATTATTTACAACATCAAAAATTGAGTTAGCTTGCACAGCAGAGACATCCACCATCCACAATAACATAGCTAGTCAAAATCCACAACAATATAGCAGAAAAGGTAAAAATTGATTCAGATCACATTTTGAAAATGTCAATGACAAGAAGCAAAATAGTACCAAACATTTTTCCAAGGAAAGAGTTGATCATGAAACGCGTAATAACATGATAAAAGAAACATGTCAATCAAAGAAATTGAGTCAAACAACATGCAAAGCCAACACCATGACACAAACATAGATCAGAATAAAGAAAAAAACGCAAACATGTAAATGTTACAGTTACAATTGGAATTTACCCACCATCCTTTGTAGACAATGGCACGTGACCCTTCTGCAATCAGTTCGCCAACTATTAGTTTTCGGGTATCCACTAGCCATGTTGGGTCTATATCGAAGACAAAATCATCGTCTAGTTTAGCAGCATCAGCATCATCGTTACTTGCCCTATGTCCATTGTTCTGTGAGGAGCCACCGAATGGTAGTGAGAGACGGAGGATGACCTGAGGGTCTGAGAGTGAGAAGAATCGACATTGTTCTTGCATTTTTGGACTCCTGTTCTTGTGTTGAATTACAGAATAGAATTGAACAAGTGATGACAAGAACAACCTTGGTTTTAGAGATAAATTGAGGAAACAAATAAAACGTGAGTGTCTGTTTCATAATCATATAATGGATTTGGAAGTATTTGGAAACACATTTATTTCCCCAAATGAGACCTCTTTAACACATGATGCATGACGTGTGCATAACTGCTATTCTTTTTTAAATGATTATGCTTCATCATTTATACAGGAAATTGCTGCAGTACTCTCAAAGATCGAAGAGTTTCAATACATTTTTCTATGTAAACTTATAAAAGATTTAAAAAAAATTAATTTAATTATAAAATGAATAATCCAAATTATACAAATAAAATAAAAAGTAAGATAAAATTATAGAGATTAAAATTATAAGATTTTAATAATATTATAAAATATTAAAAAAATAAAAATAATAATAAATAGTAAAAATAAAAAATTATTAAAATTACAATATAGAAATTCAAAAATTTAAGACAAAAAGACAAAAAATATACTTAAAAAATTATTAAAATTAAAGTATAGAAATTCAAAAATTTTAAGAGAAAAGATAAAAATATACTTAAAAATTTATTAAAATTAAACTATTTAAATATATAATAACATTATTACAAATAAATTAGAATATATAAAATAAAAATAAAATAACTAAATAATTTAAAATTGAAAGAATAAAATATCATAAATATTATTTAAATAAATTATTAAAAATGTAAAATATAAAAAACTGTACCAGTACCCTCTCAAACAAGATGGGTACCATAGAATTTCTCTTATATATATAGAGAGAGAAAAATATTTTCACAAAATTGTTATAGCTCAAAGTAAGTGATTTTGAATTTTTTAATAATAATAATAATAATAATAGTTTATTGTGAAGAGAAAAGAATTTTTTTAAACATAAGATTAAAAAAAATATACTAGTGAAGATGCTTTTAATTTTTTTTTTCTTATCTTTAATTCTTAGTTGCATTAATTATTTTTTTTTAAAAAAAAATATTCGTTCCTGGAGTATCCACCAACGACAGCCACAACTACATACACAAGGCAAGATTTGAACCCATGACCTTGCTTAAGCATGGATCAACCACTACCGCTAAACCACACACTTGGGGTTAGTGTTTAATTAACAATTCTTCTATATAAAAAGATAAAAAAATATATTTGAAATTAATTAGATAAAAATTTTCTTTCTCTCATTAGAATTGAGAAAGATAAATAAACACATAACTTTTCTAAATATTAATTAATTGGGTGAGAAATGATTAAGTAAAAAGAGAAAAAAATTAATTTAAGAGATTCTAAGGATAATTTTGAAAAAATATTTTAAATTATTAACAAATTTAATATTTTTAACTAAATTAATTAATTTTTTAAAGGATATGATTTAGTTGAAAAATGTCTTACAGTTAAGGATGAAAGTAATAGTTAAGACTACAGTAAAATTTTTGCGTAATGTTTAACTAAAATCACTTCATAAATATCAAATCACGTGAATTTTAAATTTTTTTTAAAAAAATTATGATCATATATATAAAATTTAATGTTGAAATAATATAACAATATTTTGTATAAATAAAGAGTGCTTCCAATAAGATTGAGTAAAATTAAATATAGTAAATATTTTAAATTCGTATCAATTTTATGATTTTCCATTTATAAAAGAAATTAAGATATTTCTTAAATATAAACTTTTTTTTATATAATAATAATAATAATAATAATAATAATAATTTTTAGTTTAAAATTCCTGAAAATTATCCACACACTCTCCTCCACAAGTTAACTCTAATAGATAACTATGGGTTTAATTAGCATTAAATAACGCAAAGCAACTAAATAGTTCAAGTGGCATTAACACGTAAAATATTAATTGAATTAATATCTCAGGATATGAGACAGAGAGATGTAGGATTAACTAAGCATTAAAATGTAAATATTAATTGTTAGTTTCATTATTATATTGTCAGTTTCTTTATATCAAGAAGTGAACAACAATAAAAATCCAAGTTAAGTAATTAAATATCTATTCTAACTCCCTATTATAAATTTAAGGTAAATCATACCATTTTATTTATCACTAGAATAAGAAAAAGGGTTTAACAGATGAATTCAACCATCTTTTAGTTCAATTATAATAGATTGGATAAAAATTAATGTATTTATTTAAATCAATTAAAATTTAATCTAAAAATTTGATCTATTTATAAAAAAAAAAAAAAAAAAGACAAATCCTTCATTAACAATTGTTTTTTATGGATCAATATTTAACTATCAATAAAAATAATAAATTTTAAAAACTAAATAATTTTTATTTTTTGAAATATTCTCTTTCTCTATTATTTTTTTAAAAATTTTAACTCTCCTATATCTTTCTAACTTTCAGACAAATAGTATGTATTTCAAAAGAGTGAAAAGGCATAATAACATTGAAAATGTTTGATTAAGTAAAATTTCACTCTTTGGTTTATGTGTACTACCAACTTAAAAAATAATTAAATTTTCTTATGCACGCACAAAGTTGTAACAATATCACTAAAAATAATACTACATAATTCAATATATATACACAAATACTTTAAATCGATTAACATTCTAATGATTCATAAACGTTGTGTACGTGAATATTTTGAAAGTCGTACACTAATACTCAAAATTCTTAAATTTAACAATATTTTGCCAATATATTGTTATATTATTTTGAAAGTCCTACACTAATACACAAAATTCATAAATTTCACAATATATTGTCCACAAAATTTTTTTCTCTGCTATAAATTCAACATGTTCTTTTTGTGAAGGTTGTTAATTAACCCTACAAGAAAATGAAAATTCATATTGATGTGGCAAGAAAAAATTAGAAAGATTAGTTATTAAAAAAATATACTTCTAACATCATATGTTTTCATAATTATTAGTTAAGTGATTGTAATTAAAATTTAAAATAAATTAAATTTACTAATGTAAAATTTAATAATTTAAGTGAGTATTTGAGTCAGTGTTGTGTTGTAGGTTGGAGTGGGTTTTAGAGAGTGTGGGTTAGCTGAATTTGTTGCGGACAAACATAAAACCCTTCTAAAACCTTTTATAGAATCCTCACAAGTCAAACTTACTCTTGTGTAGCCAAGGACGGAGCCAAGGGGGGACCTACGGGTGCCACGGCCCCCCCAACAATTTTAATTTTTTTTTATATACATATATATTACTATATGGCACCCCCTATTTTTAATATAAACTCATATGTATAATTAAATGAATAACCCAAATTTATTTTTTTATTCAACTTTTGGACTTCTGGTACGGCCTGCTATGTGGTATCACTTTGGAATTTTTTTTTTTTTAAAAAAATGTAGCGCCTCATTTGATCATTCCAATTCTCGGCCCCCCAGTATTGAAATCCTGGCTCCGTCCCTAGTGTAGGGGACTTTTTTTGTCTATGTTTTGGACATTCTATAATCTTGGATTATTAGTCATAGATCCTAGCGATACAAAATATTCACACATTATGAAAGTATAGTTTCTATACGGGTACTCAACACCCATCATATAGTATGTGTCAAATGTAGTATTTTAATTATATTGACATTCACTTTCTATGTTAGGTGTGGCTAAATACATTATAGAAAATGCACATTCTATAACAGGTATAACCTTACCTATCATAGAAAGTATCACATTTTATGACGGATAAGTCATGCATGCCATAGAATGCAAAGATTTTTTTTTATAATTATTTTGTTCATTTTTTTTTAAATTTCTCAAACCTGGACATAAAAAATAGAAATTCCAAACATTTCAATACAATATAAGATTGTTTAGTGGAGTACAACCCCATATATAATATACAATATCTCTCAAATTAGTAATGAAACAACATTCTATAATATATAAAGTAACATCCAATTTAAATATTATGATAACTTTATATATAATTATTGTCAAATAACAATTACTGCTAATTAATAAAGAAAAATAATTATATATCAAACTAAAGTAAACAATTACTTTAATAATGTTAATTATCTATAATAATGTAAAAAAAAATATCTGTCAAATAAATTGTAGACATGTAGACACCCACCGCTTCCAAATTTCCTCCAACAAAACCTACAATTTTAAAATAAAAATAAGTTAAACATTGGTCAATGATTAAACAATAAAAAATTAATTAAAATAAGTAAATTGATTTATATAGATATCGCCTCCCTCAATGAGTCCTTAATGTTGCCAAAGATAAAGGTGAACATTGCCAAAGATAAAGGTGAACATGTGTTTCATAACGTAATAATTGCACTCATGATTACCTGGTTGATGTGGACACTAGAATTTAAATATATACAAGTAGAATATATTTAAATTTGTAATTAAGTATTAAGTTGACATTTGACTTACTTTTGGAGCATTATATTAAAGCTTATTTCGAGCTATGAGGAAGCTCCCACAAAATCAAACTTGCATCCAAAGACATATGACAATGAATGATAAATAAAAAATAATTAAAACATAGTATTATTGTCATAATGAAATTATATAAAAAAAGAATATGTATTAGAATTAGATATTTGTAAGTCAATAAGGTGTATAATAGACAACTTAATTGTTTTCTTGTGAAATTAATACAAGAGAGCTATATGAAACTGCCTTAGAACTATAACAAGCAATTGCAAATAAGCCCTGCATTTAGTAATATTATTAGAAACTTGTAAGTTATTTTAAACTTCAAACAAAGTTTAAATTTGTACTTACCCGTTCAAATAAGGTGCTAAGTATACTTCATTTCCTCCTAGCCTAAATCGAATTATCAAATACTCATTGACATTAGTGTCTTTATTCCTAACATAGTGGATGGCAACATGGTTAAGGAAATTCATAATAAAATGCATTCTACATCTTGACACAAATGCGATGATGACACTTTAAATTGTGAAAATAAACATAATATTATGAAGTTGTAGCCGAATATATTATAATAATTAAAATCATTACGATTAGTACTTACAACATCCATAGTTGCATCACTGATATGGAAAGGAGGTCATGACCAGAAATGATGTGCTTGACATCATGTCGGTTGCCTAACCTTTTTCTTGGTAGGTTAACTTTGATCACTATGTTTTCCACCTTTTGAATGAGAAATAAGAGGAGGAGGATGAAGAGTATAGGATGTGCTAGCCATATGTCTGTTAAAAGAAAAATAAGTCATGTTATTTTAAAGATTAACTTAATATCAAGTAATATTAATAATTAAAATAAAAAGTAGTATTATACACTAAAATGGTTTTAAGTTTAAATGTTTTTCCACTATCCTTCATCATGGTCATCACGTGTAGCATGTACATCTTCACTCTTGTTGTCCAAGTTCAAGCTAAACATGTATATGGAGAACGAAGGACTCTCACAGATATCAAGAGTTGAATAATCTTCATGATCATAAGTACCATGCATGTTTTCTCCTTCTAGAGCAACTTACCAATTTTTGTTAGCAGGATTAGTAACATAAAATACTTGTTTTACTTGGTCTGATATATTGAATGACTCATTTTTAGAACCTATCTTTTCTAGGTTAACCAAGGTAAAACCTAGATCATCGATCTTGACCCTAATATTACTATCGACCCACTTACACTTAAAAACTGAAACTCTAAAACTTGCGTAACTGATCAACCATATGTCTTCAATGACTCCGAAGTAAAATAAAGATGCGGTAATTGGATTTGAGTCTTTGAAAGTTGCAAAATGTTGTGACTTAACCACCACCATAACCCCACTGTTTTGTATGGTATTTTTGAGATCTTCCTTTTTGGTAGATGATGGACGACCACCCTTTAAAAGAATTATAGTTATTAATATTGTACCTACTCCAATATATAACATCAAAGTTAAACTCCACTCCAACATATGACATCAAAGTTAGACTCTGATGCTATCCATTCCAATGTTTCAAAAGTATATTGTCATTCTCAATTTGGTTTTTAAATCACTTTGAGAATGTTCTGTTAAGCTCATTAATAAACCATTTCTCAAGCATTTGTAGATAATTTTTCTTCATAATGTCAACTCACTTACACTTAAAAATTGACACTCTAAAACTTGTGTAACCAATCAACCATAAGTTTTCAATGACTGCAAAGTAACATAAAGATGTATTAATCAAATTTGGGTCTTTGAAAGTTTAGAAATGTTGTGACTTAGACACCATTATAACTCCACTATTTTGCATAGTACTCTTGAGATATTCCTTTATGGTAAATAATTTTAGTTATTAATATTATACTCACTATAACATTTTGTTAGAAAAGAATGGCACAATCCAAGAGGGGGGGGGGGGAATTGGATTCAATGACCCTTTAAAAATTTATCAGAGTATTTTGGATCTTAATTTCAATCAAAACTTTTCTATGACAGAATTTCCAAATGAAGCTCTTCTAAAGACTTGTTATGAAAATATGAATGTAATATGCTCACTTGATTACAACATAATGAGGTTCAACAATAATGTTCAATTACAGATTTAAACCATCAAGATTCACATACACTTGTTAATCAAGTTTTATCTTCTTTAAAGTTCAACCAAGAAATTACAAAAAGTAAAAGATAAGGTAGAAGAAGATTGCACAAGTCTTTTATACTGGTTCAGCCACTCCACATGTGACCTACATCCAGTCCTTAATCAACACCTGATTAAGATTTGTTTCACTATCTTTAACCAAGAAGGTTTACAAGCACACACACATGCATATACTTCAACACTAAAGATAACCACTTTCTTGACCCCAAGAAAGCACCCCTTGTAGAACCCACTACAAGAAACCTTACCACTTGAGAAACCCTTCTCAAGATTTTTCACAAAGATTCACAAAGAATAAAAGGAACGAATTCACCTGGAATTCTTGAACAAATCTTTATCTTCCCCTTTCAAGAATATGATGATGATGATCTTCTCACAAGCTTTTCACAAACGTTTTCACTCTTGGATTTCACAAAGAAAACTCTCCAAGATGTCACAAAGACTCACAAAAACGTTTTTCACAAATTGATTATCAGTTCTAACTCATGTCTGAAGTTTCTCAAAGTTCAAACTATTTATAAAAGTTTCAGACACAGATAATCGATTATTTTAAAGAATAATCGATTATTTTGTTCTTCAGATTTTCTGGAAATCAACCAAGAACAATATAATCGATTATTTAGCTGGATAATCGATTATTCCAGAGAGTTGTTCCTGGGATAATCGATTATTTTGGCAAATAATCGATTATTACAGCAAGGCATTCCACTTAGCCTATTTGCTGAAATAATCGATTATATTTAACAATAATCGATTATTTTGAGTTAGTTCTTAAAACTTCATTTTAAGACTCAAAATAACTTTCCAATGTATTTAACTCATCATCATATACTCTCTACTTGGTTTAGATATAGATTTGCTTATGCACATAGCATACAAAGCACACAAAATATAAAAACACATTCAAAACAATTTATTTCCTAAGTTCTATTACATAGCTTCATTTCATAGCATTTTCTTGACTCTTCTTTAACTTTGTTTTTGTGCTCCAAGTTGTTGTTGTATACTTGTTGTGATCATCAAAACTCCTTTAAGATTCAAGCTCTCCTAAGCTCAACACATTTGACATCAAAGTTAAGTTCTAGTGCTAGCCATTCCAATGTTTCAAAAGTTATATTGTCATTCTCAATTTATTGTTTGAACCACTTTGAGAATGTTCTATTATGGTCATTGATCAACCATTTCTCAAGCATTTGTAGATGATTTTTCTTCATAATATCCTTGCGAACAGTTAGGTAAGGTACAACTTCATTAGTGTTATTCCATATATACAAATATGTCTACAACACTTCTTCTTGTTAGTAGCTCACAATCTTTGTAGTTCATATACCCTTACTAGCAATTCTTCCATGATTATGAGACTTAGATACCTCAATTGCTTCAACTTCTGATAAGTATTCAATAAAAATATCAATAGCTTTCTCAACAATATATCTTTCAACAATAAATGCTTCTAAACGGTGTTGGTTATTCACAAACCCTTTTAATATCTTTATGTATCACACAATTGGGTACATCCACTATAAGAACACCAAACAACATAATCTAACTTCTCTAACTAAATGAACAATTAATTGAACCACAATGTTGAAAAATGATGGAGGAAAATATATCTCTAGTTGACACAAGATAAGAACAACCACTACAAGAAAATGACGATTTTGCGACGGTTATATGGCCTACATTGCGACGGTTAGAACTGCCGCAAAGACAACATTGCGACGGTTTGGGAACCGTCGCAGAATTGTCCGTCACAAGGCAATTTTGCGACGGTTATCAGAATCGTTGCACAAACTGTCACAAAATTGGAATTGTTCTTGTAAACCCAACGACAACCGATTACAGTTTTATCAGAAGGAAGATCCATAAGGAACCAAGTATGATTCGTTTCGAGTGCAGTAATCTCATCTTGCATAGCTTTAATCCAACAATCAGACTTGGATGCCTCAGCATAAGATTGAGGTTCAATGGAAGAAGAAATAGAGAATATGAAGTTTTTAAAAGAAGGAGAAAGACGATTATAAGAAAGAAAATTATTAAGGGGATATCGAATACCTTCAGAGGAAGTGGTACGAGTTGATGCAAAAGCAGTATGGAAGTCTTGAAGATAAGTGGGAGGCTGACGAGTGCGAATAGGACGACTTGGAACGGGTAGGTTTGAATATTTTCATATGTTTTGTATACATCATGTTAGTATAGGTATCATATATTTTGGTCTTGTATTTTGGACCACATAGAGTAGCATTTTAGGTTTTAGGCTAGTTGGGCCTAGTTTTGGGCTTCATGGGCCTTTGGGCTTTTGGTACCCAATATTGGGCTCATTTTCATTCTTGTAATTTTTCCTTTCCATTGTAATTGTTTGACCAATGTAATTAGGTCATTAGAATAGGAAAATACAAGGAATACTAAAGTATGCTAATTAGGTTAAATTAGGTTTAATTTGGAAGTCATTTAAGTTACATTTGAGTCACATGTTTAGCACCATGGGTGGCTGAACATGTGCCACTCAAATTAACCCTAAATGACTCTCAAATCACACCTAAATGCACCTTGGTACCTAAATTTTCGGACTTACACATGTGCACCAAAGTTTGAATTCAAAATTCAAATTTGAATTCAAACTTTAGGCGCCATTTTGTGAGGCTTTAGTTTAGGCACCTATGGGTCACAATTCCGTGCATACTTAAGCCATTCTTTCACCTTTTGTATTCACTTTGAACCTTATATGAAATTTGAGAGCCAAGAGCCGAATTTCCTTTTCAAAGTCTTCTTGAGAATTCACCTCAAAAACCTAGGGAGTTCATCTTCTTCCTTCTCTTTGAAGTGAGTCTTCCATTGATCTTTGAGCTTGGATGCTTCCATCCAAGGCTTGAGCCTTCATCCATCCGTGTTCCTTCTTCATTCAAGCTCCATTTCATTCGGTGTTATCTCCTTAAAGAGGATCCGTGGCTAGGAGGAGCTAAGGAGAAGAACATTCATCACTTCTCCCTACCTATTTCTATCAGAAGAGCTCTTAGAAACTGTAGTCTATTTCTTGGAACACCAAGAAATCAAAGAGGAACCAAGATAGACAGAGAAACCAGTAATGGATCGGCGAGAATCAACGTATTCTGCCCAATCGGAATCACTAAAAGCCTTGAGCTGTAAAGAGCTATGAGCTGACAAGAAAACACCTAAACCTAGAGTGCCTTTCAAATATCAAAGAACGCGAAAAGTAGCTTGATGATGAGCTGTAGTAGGACTGGAAACAAATTGACTTAAGTGTTGAACTGCAAAGGCAATAACGGGACGTGTGGTAGTCAGATATATGAGTCGGCCAATTAATTTACGATAAATCAAAGGATCAATGAGAGGAGTACCAGAGGCTGAATGAAGAAGAGTATGATAATCCATTGGAGTAGAGATGGGACGTGATGCAAGCATGACATTGTCAGAAAGAAGATCAAGAACATATTTACGTTGACACAAGTGAATGCCTGAAGTAGAATGAGCAACCTCAAGACCAAGAAAAATTTCAGATCACCCAAATTCTTTATCTTAAAAGTGTCATCCAGAAGAGCTGTAATACGAGAGATCTTAGGAAGATCGTTACCAGCAAGAACAATGTCATCAACGTACACGAGAAGGGCAATGATTGTATTCATGGAAAACTTGAGGAAAAGAGAGTGATCAAAAGCTGATTGTTGATACCCATGAGATGTAAGGAAAGAGGAAAGCTTAGCATGCCATTGACGACTAGCTTGCTTAAGGCCATAAAGAGAACGCTGTAAACGATAAACCTGGCCCGATTTGGAAACATGAAGACTAGGAGGTGGCTGCATATAAACTTCTTCAAGAAGCTCACCATGCAAGAATGCATTGTTGACATCAAGCTGCT